CTTCTTATTTTTGCCACCATTGTTGTTCTTCCATTTGGCTAAATATACACCCTCCACAGATCTTTCTTCTCTCATAAGCCTCCTTTGTTCTAATGCTTGCAATGCATGTAACACCTCTGCCAAAGTGATCTTACTCAGATCCTTTGTGTTCTCCAAAGCTGCTATTGAAGCTTCATATCTTTCAGGTATAGTTACTAGAATTTTTTCAACAATTCTAGAATCAAGAAATTGCGTTCCTAGTAATCGTACCTTATTAGCAATGCCAAGCAGTTTGTCAGAATATTGTTTGATTGTCTCTGTCTCCTTCATTCTTTGTATTTCAAATTCTCTCATTAAATTTATTAATACTTGCATGCTTCGAATCCTTTCATCTCCAGCATATTCTTCCTTTAGATAATCCCAAATTGCTTTTGCCGATTTGAGAGTCATAATCCTTGTGAAAACAATTTGTGAAACACAGGCAAAGAGACAACTTTTTGCCTTTGCCTTATTGATTTTCCTTTCCTTGTGAATTTTCATTTGGGCTACGGTAGGATTTTCTGGCAACGCGGAAACATCATAATCTTCTTCTACAGCTTCCCAGAGATCTAAACCTTCTAGGTATGCCTCCATTCTCACCGCCCAAAGATCGTAACTTTCTCCATCAAAAATAGGTGGGGAAATTTGTGAAAAGTTTGTTTCTGCTTCCATCTCCAAGATCGTAACCTTAGCTCTAGATACCAATGATGGGGTTATTTTATGATATTTGTTTGAGAGGATATTTTATAATAAGACTTATTTTTTTATTAGAGGAGCATAATATAATTTTATTCATGAGTCTCTATTTATAGAGAAAATTTATACAAAATCAAATATTAATATTATCCTATTCTAAAATAAAAAAATAAATCCTAAAATAATCAGAACAGATTAAATCTAAACATTTGAAATATAAATAAAATATTCTTATAAAAACTAACTTAATCTCCTAAAGATATTTAGGCATATTCCCAACATATAGGGCTAGGAGTAGTTTTCCTTCTTTCTGCAACCAACTTGGCAGAACTAGACAAGTTCAATGCATATATGGCTTGAAAAAATAATGTCATTTTTAATGTTAAAATACATGTTGCACTGTAATTTTATTTTAATTTTATCTCAATTTAATTTATTTAGACAAAACTTATGTGTAATACTAGTATATAATAAGTGTTTTTGGTATAATTATTTCAAAATTAAAGATTCATTTCTCAATAGCTTTTTTGACCTTAATGATAACTTTAATGCGCTACTTATTGGGATGAATATGTACCTAAGCCTTTCCAAAAAAAAAAAAATCTAATGGAATATTACTTGTTTGATGTAACATACTTTCTAAATACACTCTTTAAATTAGTAGTTGAAAAATTGAAAGTAAAGTAGTTGGTAAATTTGACCCATTTTGAATTAATATATAGTAATTACACTCACATTTTTTACTTTTATTATTTTTTAAGCCAAATTGCTATGTTATTTTCACTTTTTTTATTAGTAAAAAAAATACAAACACAAATTAACTTCTCATAAAGAGAGTTCCTTTGCATGAGAGTATTAATTTTACTGGGATAAGATCACAACACTCCCAAATGAAGAAGGTTATTCAATAATTAAAGCTCCATATTTAGTGAATCAATCGATACATTGATTGTCCTCAGACAAAGTATGCTAGAAAGATACTTTAAGTCCACTTTATTAGGCTAAAACAAACTAATTTGTCTTAATGAACCTATTTTTAATTTGCCAAGAAAAAAT